AAAAAAAAAAAAAAAAAACAGGAAAAATCACAAAGCAAATGAAGAAATAAAAACATAGCCTAATCAAACGAACAAATGAAATCTCCAGAAACCAACCCGTAAGAAACAGAGATCTATGAGTTTCCTGACAAAGAATTCAAAATATTGTCTTAAAGACAAACTCAATGATCTATGAGAATACAGACAACTAAATGAAACCAGAAAAACAATGTATGACAAAATGAGAATATCAGCAAAGAGAAACAAACTATAAAAAAGAACCAAATAAATTTTAGAACTGAAGAATATAATACCTGAATGGAAGAATTCACTAGAGGGGTTCAACAACAGACTTGATCAAGCAGAAGAGAGAATTAGCAAACTTGAAGACGGGTCATTTGAAATTGAGTCAGAGGAACAACCACAAAAAAAAAAAAAAAAAAATCAGAAATGAAAAATGAAGAAAACCTGAGGGACTAATGGGTCACCATCAAGTGGACCAATATGTGCATTATGGAAGTTCTAAAAGGAGAAGAAAGAGAAAGGGAAGAAAGCTTATTTAAAGATAATGGCAAAAACATCCCAAATCTAAGGAAGAAAATGGATATCCAAATTTCAGAAGCTCAAAGGACTCCAAATAGAATGAACCTAAGAAATAACCAAGAATGTAATCAAATTGTCAATAGTCAAAGACAGAGAAACTTGAAAGCAGTAAAAGAAAAGTGATTTGTCACATGCAAAGGCAGGCACTTCCCTAAATTATCAGATTTCTCAGTGGAAACCTTACACGGCAGAAGGGAGTGGGACAATATATTTTAAGTGCCGAAAGAGTAAAGGTGCCAATCAGGAGTGCCATTCAGCAAAACTGTCCTTCAAATTGAAAGAGGAATAAAGACTTTCCCAGATAAGTAAAAGCTGAGGGAGTCCATCACCACTAGAATTGGCTAACAAGAAATGCTAAATCGAGTCCTGTAGGTTGAAATGAAAGGATGCCAGACAGCAACATGAAAGCATACAAAAATACAAAGTTTGATGGTAACGGTAAATACAGAATCCTTTAATACTATAATGATGTGCATCAGCACGTTTAATTCTAATGTAGAATTTAAAAGAAAAATATAAAAAATACCTATAACTATAAAAATGTTAAATATCTTAATGGATACAAACTATATGAAGATGTAATTTGTGACATCAATAATGTAAAAGTAGAGTTGTTAAATGAATTTTTGTATACAACTAAAGTTCTCAGCTTAAAATAGATTGTTACAAGTACAAGATATTTTATGTACACTAAATTCTTTGATTATATTCAGTATGCTCTATTTCATTAGG